AAACGAAACTTTTAGAGATCAAAAATAGTTTGACGGAAGTTCCTACCGTTGGACGGGGGATACTCCTCCCAGCTCCCCCTCAGCCGATTCGCTCCCTTGCAGGCTCTATAGAACCACGTCTGCTTCCCACTTTTTAAAATGGATTTGCGTCCCTGACTATAATGTCATATAATATGTTTATATTATCTATGTGTATGTGCGCATATATATATATATATATATATACATATATATATATACATATATATATATACATATATATATACATATATATATATATATATATATATTCATAGATATAGAATACAGAATCTGTATCTATATCTATGATATATTTCTATGCCACTTTTAAATGCTTCGTCGGCCCTACGTCATTTCCTTTGTGGACAGGTCACCGACGTTCGTCCGCGCCCTATCCGCTTACATTGGTACAGCAAGGACCTTCACAGATCAGTGCCACCACTATGAAGTAGCGAGGGCGCGATTTGCGATGCGCACCTTCTCTATAGGCATCTCACACTCCAGATTAAATGCGTAGGTCGGGCCTACGTCATTACCTTTTAGCGACACGTCGCCGACGTGCACGTGCCCTATCCATCTACATCAGACTAGCAATGGACCTGTCACAGAGCAATGCCGCCAGATTGAAGTAGCGAGGGCGTGATTTTCTAATATATATATATTATATATATAAAGCATATATATATATATATGCATATATATTTATTTATTTATTTATTTATCTATGCGATATATATATGCCGAGTGCTTTTCGGCCTCGTCAGCATCCGTCGTCAGAACCAAAACGGTAGGTATAATTTTAAAGCCAGACTTGACAACTATTTGAAAGATATACATATATATATATATATATATATATATATGTATTTTGATGGCTAGCCCAAATTCAGCCAATTAACTCTAACCTTGCCTAACATAATCTAAAGATACCTATAGAATCGTACCAAACTTTTACGTACAATCGTAAAAGATATTTTCTCATCGCATGCCTAGTATCTGCCAAATTAATGATATTCTGATTAAATTACACTTTTACAATAGAGGAAAATACTCGACCGTATGGGCGTCGAAACACGGGCGCAGCCCGATGATTGGTACGCAGGCCACGCTTAAACAGGCATCCGCCCCGCCCTCATCACGCAAGTTTACATCTAATTATTTCGACGGTAAACGCTGATCTAACGTTCTGCCGCATCAATCTACTCACGAACTGTCTTAATCGATAGCTGGTGGCTTGTTAACCAAATCACGTGCTATTTAGCATGCTGCGCCCTTCAATTTCCTCGTAAATCTGCATTTTAGTGAGACCGTAAGCCCGCCCATTATTCTTATACGGCCTGCACGGCAGCTAGCTTGGCTCTGAGCCGAGGGCTTATCGTTATCTGCCGATTTTTCAGACACATCGTCGCCAGCGCAGTTCGAACGTGTAGGTTAATTACTGTAGATTGGCCGGCGTGCTTGTGTATACGTGGTTATGTGACCAGAGTTGTGTATGCATTTCGATAGTGTCGTCGCTCTCGGCTCGCGGGTGTGTAGAGTTAATAAAACGTGTTTCAGTCTTGTCATAACAAAGTACTGTTATATATAACTTATAGACTATAAAATAGAAGTAACAAAACTTACATGGTGTCAGAAGTCGGATCGAAGAAGGACGGATACGGAGAGTGACATTTGATCATGAAGCGTGAGATGCTAACGTCGTAAATGACGATTGATCATAGAGCCGGTGAGCTCACGTGTAACCGGAAAAAATCCAACATGGCAGAAGAAGGACTACGAAAGCCAGAACCCCTGAGTTTCGGAACAATGCCGCGGAATGTACCGCGTGGGGTGCGGCATATATTAGTAGTAGGCTAGGGTTGCAGGTGTGTGGTGCGTATTTTGTATTAAATACATATGACTGGGCCATATCATCACCCAAACCGCCCTTGCCCTAAAGACCTATTGCAAGCAGCGTAACAGCATTACAGTATGTACAGTGTATTGTGGGTATATGTTTTGCTATTTTATAAAACCACAAGATCATCCGCTGACCGCTGTGGATACGTGCGCCGGGCCTACAATGTGGCGCACGTATCCACTGCGGGCAGCGCTTCATACTTGAACATCTCCGCGGTCGCGTGCGCATATATCCTGCGCGTGTTGTCGGTGCCGCTCAGCGCCTCATGAGCAACAGCCAAGCTGTGCAACGCAAACTTGTATCATGTCTCACTGGACTGTTGAGTCAGGAGGTTTATCTTGTGGGCGTTAATTAGACACAAATAATGAGTAGGGACAAAAGCCTTGAGTTAACAGAAACCAGCCATGTTTATTTTGTTTCTCCCAACCTCCATAGGTCGCAGCACATGCCAGTGCTAATAATCTTGACACAAGAACAATAATTATGATAATACAACATCCCCCTTTGAGATGAAAATAAAAACTAATATGCAGCTCTTGCAGATATGATTCCATACAGTCCAAATTATCCAAAGATCATTCCTGACAAAGATATATTAATACCGCAACAATTGAATGTCTATGTAACCACCATTAACGCATCAACCACTTTATCGTTTCAAACACATTAACTCTCCTTTTGAACACTATTCTTACATTAACCCTATATGGCTAAACAAATTGTCACAGGTCTAGTTTATCACATGGTTTGGACACTCTGCCTTACCTGTCACATACTGGCAAACTTGAGCTGTCCATCAGTACTTTCACTGATACTGTCCTCGTGGCGGTTGAAGTTCAGTTCACGGGATGGAATGTCCTGTTCGCGAAACTAACTGTCCAGAGTTGGGATGCGCAACTGCTTGCGGCGGTGTTCACATGTACTTCGCGATCTGGCGGTTTCTCGACGAAATCCTGCTCAATATCTGGGCTAAGCTTGCACAAGCTTCTGCGGTTCGTCTCAGGGACAATCCAGATTGAGTCTCTACAACATACGATCGCGGTGTCTCCGCTTTGTGCATGACCTTAGCGGCGACGTCTTTATCACGAATCACACATTGTCTCCCTCCTTCAGTTCAATGATGTGTCTGTCTCGCACCACGGCGTCTGTCAGCGGTTTCCGCGTCTTTTTGCGGTACTCTAGTTCTTTCTTAGCAAGATTGTCCATATCCGGCCAACGGGGTTTAGTTGGTCGGATGCTGGGAAGATTTGTACGCACGCGTCTTCCGAACAGCAATTCTGCCGGGCTGTACCCGTTGAAGAGAGGTGTGGCTCTGTAAGCTAGCAGGGCGAGGTATGATCTTTTGCCTTCTTCACCAGGGTCTTTCACGGTTTGCACCGCGCGTTCTACCTCCGCATTGCCTTGAGGATACAGGCGGCTACTCGTGGCATGCGTGAAGTTGTAGGTATCCGCAAACCTTGCGAATTCTTCTGCGAATACTGTGGTCATTGTCGGACCTGACGCGTTCTGGGACTCCATGTCTCGCAAAGATCGACTTAAGATGGTTGACTATAGCTTCCGATGATAGTGCGCGTCAACTTCGCGAGTTCTATATAGCGCAAGAAAGTGTAATCGGACTACTACTGTAATGAAGAGGTTTTACTTTACTATACAGTTGTAGATTATGGATTGTATGCGTAGCCAAGACATAGACAAAGACAAGTCAAGGAAATATAACCATGATCTGATGTTGCTTTTAATTTAGTTCACTTCACGGTTACAAGCACACGGTCGCGTCGGTGAGTCGGAGCGAGTTCCCTGAGACACCTCGCGCAGCTGTTTTTATAGGCGCCCCCCCCACGCGCGTGGTACATGCGTCAACCACGCGCCACGCGCCACCAACCACCGCGTCCGTCGCATCCGCGTTTCGCTTGGCTTCACCCCGCCTCGCATGGCGACGGTGGCGGGCCCCTAACGGGAAATCCCCGCTATTCTGCCATACCACCGCCTAGGAGCGTAGCTCCGTCTATCCACACAAACGCGTCACCGAGCGCTCAACATAGCGCCGCCGCTGCCTGCGTTGCGGACCTTTCACGGCGCATTTAGAACATGTAATCCAGCTGACCCAGCCACCCGGCGAAAACCCCACGCGTTGAGCGGTTCTAAAGTCGCTCCGCATTAGCCGCAGGATATCACCGGGCTTCGCCTCCATGCTAGAAGCGCGCACCGCTAATTCACGCGTCACGTACACGCCGCTAATTGGGAGGGTTGGTGTTAATCCCCGACCAGCTGCGTGGGCTCTCGTGACATAGCAGGTACTCCAAGCGTGTCACGGCGTGGGTGGCGGGTCCATCTTGGATTGCCCGCTCGTTTGGCCAGCGGCCGTATGATCGCTCGTGGTTGCTAGGGGCAACGCCGCAGAACGAATGGCCCAGAGGCCGTATTGATCGCGGTGGTTGCTAGGGGAGACGCCGTAATGTCACGCCTCTGCGCGACCGCGCAGCGCAACGCGGCAGCCCGCGTCGCGCGCGTGAGGGGGGTAGCACCCTGTAACACGTGGTCGTTACACTTCTCCCCGCACTAAAACGATGTTCACTAAAGTGTCACTAAAGTGAACATCGACTCTGCCAGCCTCCCGCCTGGCTGTCCACGGGGGGGGGCGTCGACGCGTGGCATGCTAACTACAATATACATAAACTCGGAATTAATACACAATACGCAACACATAACAATGACACATTATTGTCTACTGGTGTGTGCTTCGACCACACGACCGCACACCATACAAAACTACTAGGCGGATGTCTTCACGTTTTTCCGTGGGCTGCGAAGTGAAAGCGACGTTAAGTTCTGGGACGTCAGTGGTCGACTTCCTCGTCGGATGCCGTCGGAAAGAGGGGGTTGGTGGCGTCGTCGGGGCGGACAAGATGGCCGGCCGCTACTAGCGTTTCTTCGCCATCCGGTGCATGTGGAATGGATAGAACGATGTACTTTCCGGGCCTTCCTCCCCGTCGACGGTGAATTCGAACGTGGTCGGGTCGGCTCCCGACCCGACAAAACGGGCAACGTAATATCTGCGTCGGAGGATTGGGTGCGCGGCTCATGGATCGTCGTCGGAGGAGTCGATGTCGTCGTCATCAGGCTCCGGGGAAGAGAGGTCGGGGATCGCCGTGCCGGTGTCGCGTGGCTGCGGCGGGGCAGGTAGCCTATGCTCCCATCGCCACTCAGCACATGTATCGCCAGAACAGGCCGCGGCGACGCTGGCACATAAAGCGCAGGTGCAGGCAGGTTGCAGGTGCCCGGATGCAGCAGCGGCGGCGCTGGTGTAGGCGCAGGCGGCGCAGGCCCCTGCTGGTAGCTGCTGCTGCTGCCGCTTCTGCTGCTGTCGGCTGGCTTCTGGCGCAGGTATCCTGTATGCTAATGCCGGCGCAGGCGACGCAGGTGCAAGGCGCGCGTTGGTAGATGCCATTCGTCGTCTTGACTGCTGTTTGCGTAATCCTGACAATGTGAAGTGGTGGCGAATACGTGAACAATGTTATAGCCGGGGCAGTATGTACAAGGACTGCCCGGTAATTGCCCTCATGCGGGCGCGAAACAAATTGTTAGAACGCGGGTCGCGTACAAGCCGCCGAATATAAACAGGTTACAACCAGGGTCGCTTTAAACGGCGGCTGTCGAATATATGCGTTTAAATGAAGCGCGTGTCACTTATAGTGCGCTTTACGAACATGCTAATACGATTATTGCTACTAATTAACACGACTAGTGCTAACGGTGCACACGCTGCACATCGTCGAGGCCGTAAAGCTATTCTTAGTGCCAGTATTAATTAACTAATTGGCCGCTTATAGAGTAGGAGTGTGCATCATGAAATTTGGGATGCATACCGCTAATCAAATGACCGTAGGGTGGCGTCATTACATGGACGCCGAATATACTTTGCCCTTTAGCGCATGCAGCTATACTGCGCGAGTGACAATAACTCGTCTGCATCACAGCTATGAGTGATTGGCGTTCTAGCCACACTGGCTGCATGCTTTTCGTCGCGGGGGTTCAACGAAAGAGGCCCTTCGGCGACCAGCGTCCCTGACGCATTGGTTGATCGGCTGTTATGTGGCGGCGACGAAAGAGGCCGTGTGTCAGCCAGCGACCCTGACTCATTGGTCGTGACGTGTGGCATTTCGACCCGTAAGCATGGTTCTAGGCGCATCCCATGTCAAGAATGGGTATGCGGGTAGAAGATTACACACATGTACATCGCAAGTACGTTCTTGGCCTTGCGCCTTACTACAAAGTGGCAGTGGAGAAAGTTTGTCGACCACGGTATAGTACGGCTGCCAACGTGGAGTTAAAAGTTTAGACGGGGTCTCCCATGTCGAGGGAATGAACCCTTGCGCGCCTACCATAAAGGCGTTTATTTCACGCGTGTGCTACTTTAGTGTCCTGCTGCATCACAGCGAATGCTGGGTGCAAGCGTATAGTAGCGTTATTTACTGGATTGTCAGCGTATGACAATCGTCATACAATCTCTAGATCTCTACCATCTGCGTGTGAAGTGCTCCGACGTCGTGGCCGGAAACGTGGTAGGGTAGCTTACGAAGCGTAATGAAGCGTGATGAAGCGTAGGGAATATGAATATGTGTAGTGATGTGGAATATGAGTTGTGAAACCTACTCAGGGCGAGGGTTGTGAGGCCCCACCGGTAGGCAAAGGCGGTACCACTTGGTAAATGGGTCGTGAATCGTGAGGCCATACCGCTGAACGACGATGAGTTGTGGGCATGATTGATGAGGTATGAAGTGACATCAGCGCAGGCGCGTCAGAAAAAACCGAGAAAGCACGTTTGCTTAAGCGTTGTAATAGCCGCCTTGCCCGTTATGGCCGTATGGCCGTAATAGCATGGCCGTAATGGCCGTAATTGTCCAGTCGCCATTAACCAAATGACTGATTCATTAATGATGATGAAGCGATAGTCTCTGTGCGTGTCTCTGTCTCCAAAAAATGTCGGCTAGGCGGCTCTGTGTTTCAGCCGTTGAATTTTGATGAGCCGGTATCGCTTGCAATGCGAGATTGAAAGAATTTGTCGCCTTACAGGCGAGAGTGGAAGAAGTTGTCGCCATACGGGCGAGAGTGAAAGAATTTGTCGCTATACGGGCGAGAGTGAAAGAATTTGTCGCCATACGGGCGGGAGTGAAACAATTTGTCGCCATACGGGCGCTTATTTCGCCACAATGCTGCTGAAAAATTTTAAGCGCATACTGCGCGAAACGGGGTTATGTGACGAACGTGGTTAGAGATTAGGGGTAGATTATTCGAGTAACAATGATATCAATTGCGCACGCATCTCACACGCGTTGCAGACGCTCGTACACACACACACACACACACACACACACACAGAGGCACAGGCACACGCACACGCACGCGCGGTTGCGCATCCACGCGTTGCAGGCGTACACCCACACACACACACACGCACACATGCGCACACACGCTCGCACACGGGCGCACACAGGCGCTCACACGCACGCACACACAGGCGTATAAACAATTTTAAATGCTTAACGTCGGCCCTACGTCATTTCCTTTGTGGACAGGTCACCGACGTGTCCGCGCCCTATCCCTGTACATTGGTACAGCAAGGGACCTTCCACAGATCAGTGCCACCACATTGAAGTAGCGAGGGCGCGATTTGCGATGCGCACCTTCTCTATAGGCATCTCACACTCCAGATTAAATGCGTAGGGTCGGGCCTACGTCATTACCTTTTAGCGACACGTCGCCGACGTGCACGTGCCCTATCCATCTACATCAGACTAGCAATGGACCTGTCACAGAGCAATGCCGCCACATTGAAGTAGCGAGGGCGTGATTTTCTAATATATATATATAATATATATAAAGCATATATATATATATATGCTATATATATTTATTTATTTATTTATTTATCTATGCGATATATATATGCCGAGTGCTTTTCGGCCTCGTCAGCATCCGTCGTCAAGACCAAAACGGTAGGTATAATTTTAAAGCCAGACTTGACAACTATTTGAAAGATATACATATATATATATATATATATATATATATGTATTTTGATGGGCTAGCCCAAATTCAGCCAATTAACTCTAACCTTGCCTAACATAATCTAAAGATACCTATAGAATCGTACCAAACTTTTACGTACAATCGTAAAAGATATTTCTCATCGCATGCCTAGTATCTGCCAAATTAAATGATATTCTGATTAAATTACACTTTTACAATAGAGGAAAAATACTCGACCGTATGGGCGTCGAAACCAGGGCGCAGCCCGATGATTGGTACGCAGTGCCACGCTTAAACAGGCATCGCCCCCCGCCCCTCATCACGCAAGTTTACATCTAATTATTTCGACGGTAAATCGCTGATCTAACGTTCTGCCGCATCAATCTACTCACGAACTGTCTTAATCGATAGCTGGTGGCTTGTTAACAAAAATCACGTGCTATTTAGCATGCTGCGCCCTTCAATTTCCTCGTAAATCTGCATTTTAGTGAGACCGTAAGCCCCGCCCATTATTCCTTATACGGCCTGCACGGCAGCTAGCTTGGCTCTGAGCCGAGGGCTTATCCGTTATCTGCCGATTTTCCAGACACATCGTCGCCAGCGCAGTTCGAACGTGTAGGTTAATTACTGTAGATTGGCCGGCGTGCTTTGTGTATACGTGGTTATGTGACCAGAGTTGTGTATGCATTTCGATAGTGGTCGCTCGCTCTCGGCTCGCGGGTGTGTAGAGTTAATAAAACGTGTTTCAGTCTTGTCATAACAAAGTACTGTTATATATAACTTATAGACTATAAATATGAAGTAACAAAACTTACATGGTGTCAGAAGTCGGATCGGAAGGAAGGACGGATACGGAGAGTGACATTTGATCATGAAGCGTGAGATGCTAACGTCGTAAATTGACGATTGATCATAGAGCCGGTGAGCTCACGTGTAACCGGAAAAAATCCAACATGGCAGAAGGGGGACTACGAAAGCCAGAACCCCTGAGTTTCGGAACAAATGCCGCGGAATGTACCCGCGTGGGTGCGGCATATATTAGTAGTAGGCTAGGGTTGCAGGTGTGTGGTGCGTATTTTGTATTAAATACATATGACTGGGCCATATCCATCACCCAAACCGCCCTTGCCCCTAAAAGACCTATTGCAAGCGTAACAGCATTACAGTATGTACAGTGTATTGTGGGTATATGTTTTGCTATTTTATAAAACCACAAGATCATCCGCTGACCGCTGTGGATACGTGCGCCGGGCCTACAATGTGGCGCACGTATCCACTGCGGGCAGCGCTTCATACTTGAACATCTCCGCGGTCGCGTGCGCATATATCCTGCGCGTGTTGTCGGTGCCGCTCAGCGCCTCATGAGCAACAGCCAAGCTGTGCAACGCAAACTTGTATCATGTCTCACTGGACTGTTGAGTCAGGAGGTTTATCTTGTGGGCGTTAATTAGACACAAATAATGAGTAGGACAAAAGCCTTGAGTTAACAGAAACCAGCCATGTTTATTTTGTTTCTCCCAACCTCCATAGGTCGCAGCACATGCCAGTGCTAATAACTTGTTGACACAAGAACAGATAATTATGATAATACAACATCCCCCTTTGAGATGAAAATAAAACTAATAATGCAGCTCTTGCAGATATGAATTCCCATACAGTCCAAATTATCCAAAGATCATTCCTGACAAAGATTATATAATACCGCAACAATTGAATGCTATGTAACCACATTAACGCATCAACACTTTATCGTTTCAAACACATTAACTCTCCTTTTGAACACTATTCTTACATTAACCCTATATGGCTAAACAAATTGTTCACAGGTCTAGTTTATCACATGGTTTGGACACTCTGCCTTACCTAGTCACATACTGGCTAGGCTTGAGCTGTCCATCAGTACTTTCACTGATACTGTCCTCGTGGCGGTTGAAGTTCAGTTCACGGGATGGAATGTCCTGTTCACGAACTAACTGTCCAGAGTTGGGATGCGCAACTGCTTGCGGGGTGTTCACATGTACTTCGCGATCTGGCGGTTTCTCGACGAAATCCTGCTCAATATCTGGGCTAAGCTTGCACAAGCTTCTGCGGTTTCGTCTCAGGGACGACCCAGATTGAGTCTCTACAACATACGATCGCGGTGTCTCCGCTTTGTGCATGACCTTAGCGGCGACGTCTTTATCACGAACCCACACATTGTCTCCCTCCTTCAGTTCAATGAGTTGTCTCGCACCACGGCGTCTGTCAGCGGTTTCCGCCGTCTTTTTGCGGTACTCTAGTTCTGTCTTAGCGAGATTGTCCATATCCGGCCAACGGGGGTTTAGTTTGGTCGGATGCTGCGGAAGATTTGTACGCACGCGTCTCCCGAACAGCAATTCTGCCGGGCTGTACCCGTTGAAGAGAGGTGTGGCTCTGTACGCTAGCAGTGCGAGGTATGGGTCTTTTGCCTTCTTCACCAGGTCCTTCACGGTTTGCACCGCGCGTTCTACCTCCGCATTGCCTTGAGGATACAGCGGGCTACTTGTGGCATGCGTGAAGTTGTAGGTATCCGCGAAGCTTGCGAATTCTTCTGCGGAATACTGTGGTCCATTGTCGGACCTGACGCGTTCTGGGACTCCATGTCTCGCAAAGATCGACTTAAGATGGTTGACTATAGCTTCCGATGATAGCTGCGTCAACTTCGCGAGTTCTATATAGCGCGAGAAGTAATCGACTACTACTGTAATGAAGAGGTTTACGTTACTATACAGTTGTAGATTATGATGTCGTATGCGTAGCCAAAAGACATAGACAAAGACAAGTCAGAGAATATATACCATGACTGATGTTGCTTTTAATTTAGTTCACTTCACGGTTACAAGCACACGGTCGCGTCTGGAGTCGGGAGCGAGTACCGAAGTCCCTGAGACAGCTCGCGGCAGCTGTTTTTATAGGCGCCCCCCCCACGCGCGTGTACATGGTCAACCACGCGCGCACCGCGCACCAACCACCGCGTCCGTCGCATCCGCGTTCGCTTGGCTTCACCCCGCTCGCATTGGACGGTGGCGGCCCCTAACGGGAAATCCCCGCTATTCTGCCATACCACCGCTCAGGAGGTAGCTCCGTCTATCCACACAAACGCGTCACGAGCGCTCAACATAGCCGCCGCTGCCTGCGTTGACGGACCTTCACGGCGCATTTAGAACATGTAATCCAGCTGACCCGCCACCCGGCGAAAACCCCACGGTTGAGCGGTTCTAAAGTCGCTCCGCATTAGCCGCAGGATATCACCGGCTCGCCTCCATGCTTAAGACGCCGGCACCGCAAATCACGTCCAGCGACACCGNCACCTTCTCAGTACCCGGTCCATAACAGTCAGTTCACCTGCCTACTGGTTGTAGACGGCTAACAGCGCTCCATTGACGTTCATGATTTGTCCAGCCACCATCTTGACATTATTTGACGATTTGCCGCACCACTTCGCTCTCGCGACTGCTTTGATCGAATTTCAGCCTGACGTTTTTTCGGTGGCTGCGCAGATCTGCCACGCATTAACTCCACGTAGGCTTTGATTGCACTGCGTGGAGTTCTCACTTTCTCGGATGTTGGCGGCGCTAGGACACTGGTGCCTCGACAAGGGCGTACTCGGTATACAGTTCTTTCTCTGGAACTGCTATATGCCGTATTTGGCCTAGCGCATTCATCGGGTTTTGAAGCCGATTGAACTCGTGCGGGGGGTTCTCTCACCTCTTGAGCAAGAAGCGGCACTAAGCGGCTTATGTGTCCGTTTCTAGAGTAAAATGTTTCTCAATCAGATTATTCTGCGAACCTATCGCAAGCCCACGCTGGGTTCTCACCTGCGCGTACGCTTTCTCGTATTCAGACAATGAACGTGGTATGCGTATGCGATTGGTTTCCACACCATTGTCATTCTGCTTTGGGGCTTTTGATGACGGCTTCTATCCATACGACGACGAATCAGCGTGAGACGCAGCGTTGTCTCTTGCTCGCGATTCATACAGCGCAAGAATACAGTCGACGTGCAGACATGGCCTTTCAGTCCTTGAAAGCCACGTCCTGAGCTTGCACTCCAAGCCAGCATTTTTTCCATCGCTGGTTAACGAGTCGAAGCATGGCTCGCTTCTGGTCGCTAGGTTACGCGACGAATTTTCCCCTGGTTGAGCTGCCTTAGGACGTCTTAAGCTCCGTGTGTTCCCTGGCTCAGTTCTCAGTCTCCTGTATAGCCTTATCCTTGTTTGGGTCCTGGTTTTAGATGCCTTTCGCGCTGACAATTGTACCCTAGTGTACTTGTTGTATTCGACTGCAGAATCATCACTTGTGCTCATTCAGGGTAACACCTGCGTCTTCAGATATTAGAACAGCGTGGGCATCTCTCGATGTGTTCGCCTTGATCTCTTTCGAGTCAGAATGTTATCCATATGACACAAAACTCATTCTAAGCCCTCTAAGAATGTCCTGCATTCAGGCTGGAATAGTCTTCGAGGCGCGATGAGATTCGTAGGATCAGTCTATTAAAACAAACCCCGAATGAATTGTTGATGAACGTGGTCAGCTAGCGATTCCTGTTGCGTTAGAGGCAACTGCCAACCTGGGTTAAGACGTCGAGCTTTCGAAAACCTCTTGCTCCCTGTAGACGCGCTAGTGTGTAGTTCCACAGATGGTAGAATGTGTTTCTATCGTTTTCACACGTGTTCCATTTCATTTCACTTTGATCAGCGCTTCGCGATTCCTGCAGTTCGTTGCGGTTTGGCGCACAAACCATTCCAGCCACACCGTATTGTTGTTCGGTTATCCTTGGAATAACTACCCATGCCCTTCATGCGATTGAGACTCTTCCTTGCCTTTCTCGTTACGCAGCTAATAGGAACACGAGCGGCGTGGATCGGTACGGTTGCGCACTTGTCTCGTTTTTTATCTCATCGCACCTTCTTTTACCAAGGCATGAAACAGCTTCAGGAAATCTGGACTTTTCCACTTAGTAGGCTTGCTCCTTGAGACCTCTGACTCCGAACGAGTAAGTTTCCTGATCGCTTGATTGCCAAGAGTTGTTTTCGTAGTTCACGAACAACTAGATGTTGCGTTATTCGCGACACGCGATCTTTCTCAAGTGTTTCACGAAACATCCGCAGCGTCGAGTTTTGGCAACCAGGCGCCTCTGCTTAGGACCTGGCAAGCCTGACACTTTGCCATAGCGTTCGCGCAGTACATTTTAATGGCTGACCACGTAACCTTCGGCACCCGTATCGATTTTCCACACGATGAACGAATCTGCTATCTTACTTACTTTCACGAAAGATCCCGTCTCGTTGAGATTTGTAGGTGCTCCCTGAAGCGCGTGATGGGGCTACACCCTGCGCAAGCAACCTCGTCTGACTGATTTGCGAATTCGCAATACATTTTGAGTGCGCATTTTCTTGCAAATGGCATTCTCACCTTTGGCTGGACACGGCTGTTTTCGCTGCGGCGGCGGTTGGTCCACAGTTGGCGCGAGACTTCTCCAGCCTGCCTTTCTGCGCTGAAATGCTTCTGACTGTTACACTGTATGCCAGTGTAGGGCGTGGACGTTTGGGACGCCCATTGAAATCTCGAGTCTTCTGACTTTGGTGACTCGCCGGCATGGGGGAGCGTCCCTCGCGATATGCCCCTGCTTGCTTGCGAATCGGTTTCGCTCTGCGAGCGCTTGTTGGCGGTTCTTAAGGCGACCGTCTAGCGTCAGTTGCAGACGCTTGACATCTGCCGTCCTTTAAGTCCTACACATGCCTATCGGTTTAACTCGTTTCAGTGCCATGTGTACCGAAGTCGCACTTTCCGCAAGATCTGAAAAGATCGGCTGATTGAACGAATCAGCAGGTTCCCCTCGCTTCGTGAACGTGATTAATTTGTGCCCGTTCAAAATGACATTCTTTTCGGGTACAAATATCTATCCAGTTTAGCTTTAGTGAGTTGGTAATTCTTGTTCTCATCTCCGTTAGATTTCAGTTGACATTAGATGTCCTTCCGCTTCAGTCACCATGTGAGTAGATGAGGGTGTCTATTTGTTCTGGCCTCTCCCTTTTTCTGAGAGGCTAGCACTTGTCTGAATCTATCGAACCGCTTGATCCATTTGTGACCCCCTCGCGCTTCTAGGTCGTAATGACTTAGGTGTTGGCTTGTGAACTGCTGCCCTAGTCACTATCTACGGGGAAAGGCAAAACGTGTGACTGAAGTTCACAGATAGTCAGAAAGTCATGCCTCATCGAAATCCAGTAAGATCAGTAGGATAACGGCGCGTGTAGCATGCATACATTACGGCATTGACTTGTTTGTCTACCACATAAACATGGGCAAATTGAGAAAACTGGGGCATCACCACTGTCCTATTTACTGTGTCTCCGGTCTCTTTTACGATTCTGACACCATGTTGAGTCAGGAGGTTTATCTTGTGGGCGTTAATTAGACACAAATAATGAGTAGGACAAAAGCCTTGAGTTAACAGAAACCAGCCATTTTTATTTTGTTTCTCCCAACCTCCATAGGTCGCAGCACATGCCAGTGCTGATAACTTGTTGACACAAGAACAGATAATTATGATAATACAACATGGGCGTCGAAACCAGGGCGCAGCCCGATGATTGGCATGCAGTGCCACGCTTAAACAGGCATCACCCCCGCCCCTCATCACCAAACTTACATCTATTGCGCAGCGACGGGAAATTGCTGATCTAACGTTCTGCCGCATCAATTTACTCGCGAACTGTCTTAATCGATAGCTAGTGGCTTGTTAACAAAAATCAACTGCTATTTAGCATGCTGCGCCCTTGAATTTCCTCGTAAATCTGCATTTTAGTGAGACCGTAAGCCCCGCCCATTATTCCTTATACGGCGTGCACGGCAGCTAGCTTGGCTCTAAGCCGAGGGCTTATCCGTTATCTGCCGATTTTCCAGACACATCGTCGCCAGCGCAGTTTGAACACGTTGTAGGTGTGTGGTGTGCGTGCGCGTGTGCAGTGCGCCGGGCCTATACAATGTGGCCAGGTTGGGTCCGTGTGTGTGTGGTGGGTGTTTCGTGTGTAGTGTATGTGTAACGAAAAATTTGAATTGTACGGTTGAAATGATAAAGAAGGATCCAAACTTGTGTGGTACAAAATAAACTTTACTATAACTCTCACATAACAGAACAGCAAAGCACGCACAGCCCCTCTCCTCTTTCTCCTTGTTTTCTTCCCGGCCTACCACACATCTGTCCCCCACATGTCCCTCACTTCATATTCTCTCTATGCACATATATACTCTATATATATATATATATATAGAATCGTTGGTACTCTATATATATATATATATATATACTCGATATATACTCTATATATACATATACACATCTCCCATACATGTCCCTCCCTTCATATTCTCTCTATACACATATATACTCTATATATATATATAGGGTCGTTGGTCCTATGGATCATTGATCCTACGGGTCGTCCCCCTCCACGTACGCTCCTACGATTCGCCCCCCTCCCCTAGCAGGTCGTCCTTCCCCCACCTACCCCATCCGGGACTCATCCCCCCGACGCTTCGGCCCCCCGGGTGCCCCTCCCCCCGGGTTCGGCCCCTGTGTGGTGTGTGTGTGTGTGTGTGTGTGTGTGTGTATGTGTCTGTGCGTGTGCCTGTGCGTGTGCGTGTGCGTGTATGCATGTGTATGCGTGTGTGTGCGTGTGCGTGTATGTGTGTGTGTGTGTGTGTGTGTGTGTACGTGTCTGTGTGTGTGTGTGTGTGCCTGTATGCGTCTGCGTGTCTGTGTCTGTGTGGGTGTGCAATGTATGTGTGCAGTGTATGTGTGTGTGCGTGTATGTGCGCGTGTGTCCGCGTGTGTGCGCGTGTGTGAGCGCGTGCGCGACAATATGTCTGCATGCTCTATATATATACAGTTTGTGTATAATGACTGTGATACATTTGACAAATCTCCCAGGCATTAACACGTGCTATTTAGACCATACACCAACGTCATTCTCTTATCTTATTCATCTTTCTTTGAGTTCTTAGATGTCTTATTCATCTTTGGTTTGATTTGCTTGCATTTGACTTTTGTATTAAATACATATGACTGGGCCATATCCATCACCCAAACCGCCCTTGCCCCTAAAAGACCTATTGCAAGCGTAACAGAATTAGTATGTACAGTGTATCATGGGTATATGTTTTGCTATTTTATAAAACCACAAGATCATCCGCTGACCGCTGTGGATACGTGCGCCGGGCCTACAATTAGGATAATAGGATAATGTGGCGCACGTATATCCACTGCGGGCAGCGCTTCATACTTGAACATCTCCGCGGTCGCGTGCGCATATATCCCGCGGAACAGCGTGTGTTGTCGGCGCGGCTCAGCGCCTCATGATCAACAGCCAAGCTGTGCAACGCAAACGAGTATCATGCCTCACTGGA